CCCCCCATCATCCTTGTTGCTCTCCTCTGGACTCTCTCCAGGAGTTCCTCATCCTTCTTGAACTGGGGAGCCCAGAACTGGACCCAGTGCTCCAGGTGGGGTCTCACCAGGGCAGAGTAGAGGGGGAGGAGAATCTCCCTTGCCGTGCTGCCATGCTCCTCTTGATGTGCCCCAGGATGATGTTGGCTTTCTTGGCAACAAGGGCACCCTGCTGGCTCATACAATGCAAGGATATAGGTAGTAGGTAAAGGATTGTCTTTGAAAATGCCCAGAGAAAGCCACAACTTGAAGAGGAGGCTGCAGTACGAGTGGCATGCCCTGCCTGATGTGACAGTGGTGGGAATGGCCGTATCTCCACCCTGGCGCACAACGCATTGCAGCTCATGACCCCGGGTGCTGCCAGTGCAAATCTCAAAGGCTTGCTCATGTGTCTGCCTGGGGCTGGCAGGGTGGTTTACCTCCTGAGACCTCCCCTTCCCCGCCACCGCCGGGGGAAGCTGGGGGAAGCCAAAAGGCCAGCGTGCTGTCAAGCCCCCTTTTCATTTTTGCCCAGAGATAATCCAGATACGAAGGTTTCTGCGAGGCTGCTGCGTCTAGAAAGCTCCTGCGATTCAGCTGGGCGCATCCTGCGCCCGGTCCTGTGACTTCCACTGAACCCAAGCATTTCTGTGGAGTGAGCACTTTCCAGTTTTTGTCAGAAAGTTCTCAGATGGGGGTGTTTGCAGACCCCCCTCGCCACGCGCTCTGCTTGCTCCTGCACCTGAGGATGTGGGCCAGTGTCTCCTGTGTGGGGCCCTCCTTTTTTTTACATGCTCTTCTCTGCTGGCAGTCAAAACTGAAGCAAAAAGAAAAATAAAAAGAGCTGAGAAACGCAGGTGTTAATGCTGCGAAGCCTGTGGGTGCAAACAGGGTTCTGTTAAAAATGAAATGGAATTGGGTGGAGGTAGATAAAAAGAAATCTGAAATAATTGTTCTGTAGAATATGGCCTTTCCACATAGGCAGAAATCTTTCTCTTCACTTCTGTCTGAAGAGAGAGTCAAATAGAGAATCTCATCTCTTAATTAGAAAGAAAAATACTCATCAAACACATCTCATCACTGGAAAGCTAATGATCCACAGCTGCTAGTCTGAAAGGGCAGGCTTTTTTTCTGAACAGTAGGAAGTGTTAATCATTTTGGATGAGATTTCTTTTTAAAATATACTGTAGTTTGCAAAAGAATAGGATATTCAATATTCTAACTTAAATTATTTTTTGAAGTGGTGTACACCAGGGATAGTGTCATGTGTCTCCCTGAATGATCATTTAATGCATGTGTCTCTCACTGAGGGTATCAACTGATGTGATGTGGTAAATGGCCAGTTCTTGCCTGTGACTCTGAAAATCTTGATCTCATGGGGGAGAAGAAAAAGAGTCCTCCCTTATAGTCTTCTGTGTAGGAAATGGCAGCTATATTAAACCGTAACCTTTGAGACTCCCACTCCTCCCTTAAAATAGTTGGCTTGTTTCAGTAGCGATGAGGATCCTTTTTTTAGACGGAGTTAGAGCCATTATTTCCTTGGAAGAGATCATACCAGACACAGTCCATGTTCCACTGGATGCTTCATAGGCATCACCAAGTCCCAGAACTGCCCTTTTATGCTTGTTCCTTAGCTTTTCTGGATTTCCTCCCCCCCCCTCCCCCTACTTCTTTAACGGATGGATACGTAGGTTTTCCTCCCCTTCATGTGGGAAGTGAAAGTTTCTATGTACCACTTCCCGTCTTCCCTCTCCCCCCAGCTATCAGGCCCTTTATGCCCAAGAACCCAGTCCCTGGATTTTTCTTGCTGTTCTGCACCAGATTTTGGGTTTGCTCATGTTTTCTTAAAAGTTTAGTCCAATACCGGGAGTCTGCTTGTTTCCTCCCATGTGCGTGCCACGAGTGCATTTCTCTTCTGGGGAGGACAGGCCATTTCACTCGCGGTGCCATCACTGTGCTGGGCCACCACGGCGCACACCTCGTTTGGCTTGCAAATACAGAGCCCCTGTTTTCCTACTGCCTGGCTGAGGCAGGTGCCTGAAAGGTTAACATTCAGCCAGGCTAGATGGAAATGAAGCTGGCAGGTCAGCAAAATCCTCTGCAGGAGGTGGTGGGTGTAATATCCACAATTTTGAAAGATACGTCCATACAAGTTGTAAAGAGGTAGTATCTTTATATAATAATTTAATGGCCTCTGGAGTACAGTACTGTGAGGAACTAATACTCTTAAGGATCATTTGGTACTTCAGAACTTCAGGAGTGTTTGTGTGGGAACTCATTGATGTTGGAGTACGGGGTACATCATGACCATGTTCCTCAGCCTCCACTCAGGTCTCCATCTCCTGGGACTGTCCAGGTTTCTGGCTTTTTTTCTCTGGAGACAGAGATTGTTTGGATGTTACTTGATTTTCCTTCCGTCTTTCTAAGCAAAGTTCAGGTGGGACCATAAGAAATATTGTATGCATTGCTGTTTCTCAACAGGTAATCTCTAGTATTTGCTTTTCTGATAGTTGGGTGCTGCTTGTTGACTTCCAGAGCTCCCTTCAGCATCTATCCATTGACCCGGGGCATTTCTGGGGTTAAAGGGTGCGAGGATTTTTCGCTTTTCTTTTGAGATGTGAATTCTGTTGTAAGCTGGCTATATCAAATTTACTGCATCAAATCCCTGTAGATCTTGCTCTCAGAAGGGTGGTTAGCAAGTTCACAGAAGAACTCTCAAATTCTGTGAGCTGTTGTTTGCCTCTTATTCATTACCATTTCTAACAGATTTCCTTTTAAACTAAACAACCTAAAAAAGACAGTTTTCTTTCAGATGAAATATTAGCTGTTAGAAGTGCCAATATCCTCTTATGTGTGTCACACACTGCCTTTTCAGTTCTTCCAGTATTAATCATGTTTGTCTTGCAGTCTCACAGGGCTCCCATACACGTGCCACTCAGTGGTAGCAGATAGGGAGGTGAGGTAAGTTAGCTGATCCTGAGACAGCAGATTACTTAAAATACAGATATTTTTTTTCTTTTATGTGGGAGCTTGTATTTGATAATAGCATTTTGCTTTACCTCTAAATAAAAATCCAGCAGAAGACATTTTCTCCTTAGTTGGCTTCATATACATCTTGGTGATGAATTTGGGAAAGTGAGCCTCTTCTTAGTTTACCTGGGCGTTGGCATTGCTTGAGGTTTGCTAGTTCGGTGGCACAACACCTCCATTCATTTTAGCAGGTAGTAAAACCACAGATATTCAAAAGCTGAACTATTCAGATGAAAAAGGCTTAGCAAGATTTCTGGGTGTATATCCAGCTGTGCTACGTAGTGTGATTTGCTGTAATACTTTTGGGTTTTGTTTTTGTCATATTAGAAGAAAACAAACCCAAGTTACGGCTAGAGCTGGCTACAATAAATGGGGTTTGTTCATAGGGAACACTGGATGTAAAAATGGTTTTAGTTTGACCCCATCTAAGTCCAAATATTTTTAGTTCTTTCCTGCAAACCAATAATTTTCTACCAGCACCGTTAGGGAACGGACAGCTGGATGTGTCTCTGCCAGACAGCTACAGGCTCTGACAAATGCTTGGGACTTTCAGGCTTCACAAAAAGTCAGCTCTGAACTGCTTGGTGGGTCTGAGGCTGAAGTCCATCCTGTGAGGCTCGTCAGAGCTCCACAGCAGAGGGCTGTGGTGCACGGAGCCGGCAGCGGAGGTGGGCTTATCCTGGGGCGTGATCCCGCTGCGGCCCCCGGTGCCGGAGAGTGGCCCCGGTTACCCACGTGCACATCTCCGGGAGGCAAAACCTGGCCATGCTTCTGCCAGGCTCCAGCCCCGGAGCACTCGAGGTCTCTGGAGGACGCACTTCAATAAATCAAAGTTTTCACAGGCCCGGACTTTGGTGGCTTCTCAGCATTCCTTTTAATCCCCTTTTTTGATAAGTCTGTGGTCAGTACTGTTTTACTATATTTCCATTAAAATAGTTGTACGATTTTACCTTTTTACTGTGATTTTTTTGCTAGTTTTCTGTGCAGAAGATTTTTTCAGATTTAGTTGTGATGTTTACTTCTGCTTGTTTGTGTGACATTGCTACAAAATGACCAAGTTCTTTCTTCTAAACAGCAAACTCATTTTTATCCATGGATATAACTAACCTTTTCTTTCCCAAATTGTGACCTTATTTTTATGCTGTTTTGCTTTATTTTGTCCACATAAGCATTATTTTGCAAGAGAACAATTGATGTTCCTCTTAGACTAGACTACGTCAGTTTTTCTTTTGCAAGAGTTAAGGCACGAAGCGACAGAAAGCGTAGCAGTTGTTCCATGCGGGTAGGCGGCGAGTCAGCAAGGTGGTTAAACAACTTCCCTGCCTCAGGAGAAGTGGGTTTCTTAAGAATTGTTTTAATTTATTGGTCTTGACTGTGCGCAAGAGTTTAATGTAATGCTGATTTGAATCACTTTTTTTCCTCCTCTGTCTTCTAGCTTTTTCTTTTTGTGGTCTGGAACTTTGAGCTCTACATGATACCACTGGCTTTGTTGTTGCTGCTGGCATGGAACTACTTCTTGATCGTATCGGGGAAAGATAACAGGCAACATGATACGGTAAGTCTTCTCTACTTCAAGCGCATACATGTCCTTTTCTTTTTTTAACTAGATGAAATTTTGTAACTGAGTTTAAATATGACATCTTTTTGAAAATGCCTTGGTTCACAATGCTCGATGGACAATTTTCCCACCTGCAATTTAATTTTTCTCCAGCTGTCCAATAAATGTGTCTGGGTTTGTTGAAAATGTCATGTAAAAATACAGTGGAACATGTACGCTCCTCAGAATCTGGTTTGTGTGGGAGCAGAGATGAGAGGCTGAGTGGTCAGGAGAAGGCAAATTCTTTGAAAATGGATTTTCTGTGGTTAAGCCCTTGTCTTGCGTTTTTTATTTCACATAGTGAAGTTAAAGGTTAAGATGATTCCAATTTGTTAACGGTTTCAGAAAGTATCACATTTTATTGTATTTCATATTTTATCATTAATACATTTCCATTCATTGAGCTTAATATAATCCTTATTTCCTTCTCCTCTTCTAATTCCATCATTTAATTAAATGCATGTAGTTGGGGTATAAAGTAGCAAACATTTACTAATAACTGATATTTATCAATAATAAAAGCATGGTTCAGATTTTCAGAAGTACGTATAAAAAGTTGTAGTCTGTGCTGTGCAAATTTTCTGGTGTCCAGGCAGCTTAAGGGTTTTGCATGGCTTTTATTGCTGAGCCTTATGAATTTGGTATTTGTATCAATATTCATATCCCAAAAGCAGCGTGCTGTCTAGGACATTACGACCTGGGTGGATAACTGGATGGGTGGAAAAAAAGAACAAAACACATTTGATAATTGGTCTCAGAGGATAGTGGTTGATGGGAGTTAGTAACAAGGGGAGTAGAGTACCACAGTGCACAAGGATTTCTCCTGTTTAACATCTCTATCAGTGACCTGCAGGAGGTGACAGTGCACTCCCATCAAGTTTTTGGTTATACCAGGGGTGTGGGACCAGCTGATACCCTGGGTCTGACAGTCAAAGAGATATAGTTAGGCTGCAGGAATGAGCCAGTAGGAACATCGTGAAATTCAAGGAAGAAAAAATGTGAATTCATGCTTTTGGGGAGGAATAATCCATGATACAGGCTGGGGATTGATTGCCTGGGGATTGGCTCTGCTGCATTGGGCCTGGGCGTTGTGGAAGACAGCAAGGTAACGAGGAAGACAGCAAGACCGCAAGGTAAGTAAGGAGAGTGATTATGCCCTCTGCTCAGCACTTGTCAGACTGCATCTAGAATGGTGTCCAGTTTGGGGCACCCCAGTTCAAGAAAGACATTGATTAACTTCATCGAGTTCAGTGGAGGGCTACCAAGATGGTGAGAGGGCTTGAGGACTTGCCCTGTAAGGAGAAGCTGAGGGAAGTGGGCTCAAAAGAGCCTGGAGAAGAGAAGGCTTTTGGGTGACCTGAACAGTAGCCCTCCACTACCTACAAGGAGCTTATCAAGAAGATGGAGCTAGACTCTTCACAGTGATGTGTGGTGGAAGAAACAACTGGCATAGTTTGAAGCAGAAGAGGTTCAGACTGGAGAACATTTCTTGCCATGAGGATTGTTAAGCAGTGGAAGAGGTTGCCCAGGAAAGTTGTGCAGTTGCTCTTGGAAGTTTTCAGGACCTGACTGGGTAAAGCCCTGAGCAACCTTATCTGACCTCATGGCTGACCCTGCTTTGGGCAGGAGGTTGGAAGTCCCTTCCAGCCTGAATGATCCCGTGACCCTAGTGTCTAGCAACCGCAATTATTAGTCACCAGAGGAACTGATACAGCCTTGATCTTGGCATTGGTATTACCAGTCTACATCACTAAGACTGTTACGCTTCCAAGGGTCATCTAAAATTAAGGGTGGGAATGATAGAGGTATTCCCTAATCCCAAAGGTTGTTACATTCATGGAAAAAGCCTAAGATCAAGATTTAAAAGATGCATTATTTAATCACAGCCCTTAGTCTCCTGCTGCCTGAAATGCTTAAAGCTTCTCAACCTGAAGATTTTATGAGTAACTGAAATCCCTTGTGAAAGGAGAGATTTCACTTGTGAGCTGCAATACACTTCATTTCTTTCTGAAATACCACCTGCCTGTGAAGATTAATTGGGTCATGTAACTTTTCTAACAAAATAATGAATCTATTGATGGGCTCTCTGTTGAGGACACCAAATGCTGCTCTAAAAATGTTCCTCTTGCTTCAGACCAAGCTATACAGCTTATATCAACCTGTCATGTTCTTCCCAAATATTTGATATCTGTGCCATTAATTACTATTTTTTTTGTTTAGGTTTTATCACAAGTAAGTTGGGACCTCATTTTTAATGAATTGAGCTTGGTTATCACCATGGTGAGCATTTCTCTTCTATGAAGTGATCTGGAGACTTACTGGATGCCTTTCTAATTAACTCACAAATCTTCAGTAACATCACAAGTCCTTAGCTCAGGTCATTAGCACAGTATCATTAGATTAGGAGTCATTTAAATATTTCTGTTTTCCTATGCAGAGTGTAAATATTAACTAAATTAATTAAGCAGTGTTTCCTAGTGGCTAGAGAATGCTTCAGGATCCACACGATCTGGCTTCTGTTCCCAGGTCTCCAGAGATTCCTTGTGTGCCTCAGTGAAATCATTGACTACTTATCTTAGGAATATTGTCTGTCTTTAGAAGTTACTTTGAAATCCTCAAGCTGATGAGAAGACAAAAAGATGAATACATCTGTTAACTTTTCTTACTCAATTAACACTAATGCGTAGTTAAAAATTGTATGCCCTTTATGCTTGTCTAATGTCTGTGGAAAACACTTACATTTGGGACCTTCAAAAGTAGCTCTGAAGAGTCAGTTTCCATTGCAGTATCCCTACAAGAAAACAGTTATCAATTGTCTCATCAGGCGTTAGGGACTGCACTCTTCTGCGGGTCAATGAAATGGTGAACACCAAGTTTCTGTCCGGATCTGGCAGATGGACTGGCCTTAACTGCTCCTTGTCTAACTGTCTCCATAGACAAGGTATCATTTGCTCTGTCCTCGTGGGCGTCAGTTTCTTTGAAGTAGTTTGGAACTTACTTTCTTGTGGAATAATTCACCTGCCAAATGGTCTGGGCGGCTCTGTCACAACTTGCGTCTGTGCTGCTCATTTGAGTGTGAATATGATTATTTTGCCAGTTACTCTGACTCCTAATAAGTTATATCAGCAAGTCCTTTCTTGAATTAAAAGTGTGATGAGGTTCGGCCACAGGGGAGATCCGAGTGTAGTTATTAATAGGAGATAAGTCTATCGGAAAGTCCGGTGGAGAGGTGAGGTAGTGTATGAGGCGTTACTGCTCTCATGGATTCGGCTGGACACTCTATGTAGGGTTGATCATCATTGTCATTTTAGTTGAACGCTGGCACAAACTTCAAAAGAGAAGCATTGGATCCCCTATCTTTTATACGTTTAGGTCAAGATTAGTTGTGTTTCTGAAAGATACACTTTACCGAAGCACAAACTCTTGCATTACTTGTGTCGGGGTAGGCGGATGTAGGTATATGTAGATTTAGTGGCTGGTTCTCTAAATGCATCTGAGAATTCAGGACCCATCTAAAATGAATGAACTTCTGGCATTGAGTCATGTGGCAGATGTAAAAAATCACAGAATAAATTTTTCCTTCCAATATTAAGCAAGGAAAAAAATCACTAAAATGGCGTTCTTAATGCTTTGCTGTGAATTTTGCAGTAATGTTTTTTGCCTGAAGCTTACCTAGCTGCATTCTCCAAGGATCCTTGCACTTCCTTATCATCGTACTCCTAAATACCTGACCTCACAAAATAATTTATTTTTAGCACAACTGCCATTCTCATCTTAAACCATCACCACCTAAAGACACAGGACTAGAGCTGGGTATATCTTACTGCTTCCATTTTTTTTTTTCCCTGCCTTTTTTCCAGCATCCTTCCCACATCCTCTGGGGAGAGGAGAGGTATCAACCGCTGCCGCTCTCCTGTCCCCACTGCCCCTTGTCACCGGCGCTGGATCCGTTGCCAGCCCCATGCCTATGGCAGCAGAGGGAAGGGGAGCATGGCACGGTGACAGACCGCTTGGGATGCTCGGGGAGAGCAAGGGTGGAGCGAGAGCAAAGGACTGGCTTCTTTCATAGAAGCCTTGACTCCCTGGGAACCCCAAACCACATCTTACAAGCGGTGGACGAGCAGAAAAGTTCATCCCACGCAGCTGTAATTGAAAGACTTCTAGATATAGCCAAACTAACAGAAAGTGTGCTGGGGTTTTAAAGCTTCTTTTCAGTCTTTTTAAGAAACTACTTAATATTTTGATGTTTTCAAATGTGTTCTACAGAAAAAACCCTCACCTTTATAGCTTGGAGAAAACAGCAGCACTGCTGTCTGGGGTCTTTTTTTCACTTCTCTTTCTAAGCAAAAGTCACAGTTATTAGAACTGCATGCAGTTAGCGGAAAAAATCTCTTCTTTTTTTTTCCCTTGCTTTTCTACTTCAGGCTGCGTTCTGACTGCCTGCTGGAGCTGTCTAACTCAAGGAATGGTCAGATAATCCCTCAAAGTGATTAAAAATGTTGGCACTCTCCAGCTGCTCTGGTCCCCTTCCCTGAGATGAAACAGTTGATTGTGTGGTTGGAACACATCGTATTGTGAATGAAACCTGGTTTGCATAGTTATCTTTTTTTTTTTTTTCCCTGTGTATGTAATCCTATCACAATTAGGACAAACTGTGACAGTCTTTCAGCTGTAACGCTTAACCACTGGAACAGGCACATTGGATCTCCTCTGGTGACACTTGCAAGTTCTTCTTCCTTGACTCAATAGGTAGCAGACAGAGAGCCCAGGTGGTCTTCTCCTTGATGCTGCCATTGAGGAGGAAGGGCTGGAAGAGGACTGGACAGATCTGATGGGTTGAGCAGCTGTTATTGACAACAGGGACTTGGTTTTTACAACCATGGGATCCTCACTGAGGATTGAGGACTGCTAGGAAGAGGCAAGATCCACCTCACCAAGTGGGGTAAAATCTTATTTTG